GTCCATTAGGTGGGGTTGGCCATTTTCCAGCAGTGATTCGGGTTCCAAGGGTGTGGGCGCACAGGCAGTGGCAAGAGTGTCAATTGCTCAGGCTTCTCTCTAAGATGTGGCTTCCTTGGCCCATCCGAACCAGGCATGAGGTCGAGTCTACAAATATCTCACACCTAGAACAGCAGACATCGTGCTAGGCACTTTGCAGGTGTCATATCATCTAAGCTCATGGTGGTTTTATGAGGAAGCCGATACTACTGTGCACATTTTACAGATGAGGAAGCAGCCACAGAGTGGTTAAGTCACTTGCCCAAGGTCACACAGCTAATAAGTGGCAAGGCGAACATCCACGCTCAGATCTTTCCACCTCTGGGATGTGAACCCAGGATGCTAGCTTCCGAGTTCTCCCTGTAGCCTCTAGTTCGTATCATCTCTACAAAGGTCAGTGTCTCCTCCATTCATTTGCCCAGCGCGTATTCACTGAGCACCTACAAGGTGCCTGGTGCCATACGGAGCAGCGCATGCTCCCTCTGCCACGTAGTAGTTCTGGCAATCACAGCAGAGCATCTTGAGGGCACACAGGGGCCCCTGCTTGTGCCTGGGGACCGGTTAGTAATAATCACTCACATCTATTGACCATGGACCCAGAACTGTGCTAAATTCTTTGTATGCATTTTGCATTGGAATTGGGAAGAAATTCTATGCAACGATTTTGATAGCTCAGAGAAAGACACCTGTTAAATGTTTGACAATAATGCAAATGATGTCATTTTTGGTTTGTTTGTTATGGAATACTCCAAAACCTTGGTAAAGGATAGAGAATAATATAATGCGGTTTTCCCCCTAAACTATTAGTAGGTTCTGCAGTCAACTTAATAGATTGCAGGCAAGCATTTTTGAATAGACTAGGATGGGATAGAATGGAAATTTCCAGAGGTAGCATATACGGTAAGAGCAGGCATATGAACGTTGTTCATGAACATATTTCAGGCCTGCATGCGTGCATTGGTGTGTGTTCTGTGTGTATAAAATGTCTCCTACTGTAGCTCTTGGTGAGAAACGTTTGAAAATCTGTGATATTATGAAGACTTAGGTATTCGCTATTCAGATTTAACAGATCCTAATATTTCACCATATTTGCTTCAGATTCTTTCCCAAGAAATACATGTTATAGGTAAAATTAAAACGGAGTCCTCGCCCTGCTCTCCTGAGCTGGTGGACATGCCTTCGATCCACTATTCCACCGACTGGTCCAGCCTCTTCTTGGTGAGCCGGGCTGAGGCAGCTCGCCCCAGGATTGGCTGAAAGAATGTCCTAGCCAGGAGGTGTCGCTAACTGATCATACCCACTCCCCAAATTCTAATCACAGGTCTTGCAAGCTTGGGAGGGTTTAGAGAAGCAATTTAAACATGCCATTTCATTTCATCGTTGACATGAAAGCCTGGAAATATGTAAACTCAATCATAGGACCAGTCAAAGGCCATGAGGTCTGGACCTTCCACCCAGGGGCGGCACCTCTGACATTCTGCTGCCCCTTGTCTTCAGAAATAAAAAAGCTGAGTCCTGGGGAGGGAAGTGGACCTCCCCAGACTCCCCCAGAGCAGACAGTAGGGGTGTCAGGGCAAGAAAAGGAGGAAGAGAGGAAGAGGAGGGACAGAGAGAGAAAGAGAGGGACAAAGAGAGAGAAGGAGGAAGGGAGGGAAGGAGGGATAGAGGGAGGGACGGAGGGAGGGAGAGAGGGAGGGATCTGGGAGAGGGAGATGGCATAAGCAAAGGGCCTGGGGCGTGGTGGCTGTGGCAGGTCTGGGGGAGGGGCAGCTGTGGGCCAGGGAG